CGTTATCATTAGACAAAGATACACTATTTCTCTTTGATTCGTCATCACCATTAGATAAAGATACACTGTTTCTCTTTGCTTCGTCATCATTAGACAAAGATACACTTATTCTCTTGGATTTGTCGTCGCCATTAGACATATATGAACTCCTCTTCGTTACGTCATCATTATTAGAAAAATATGAATTTCTCCTAACTTCTTCATCGTTAGTGGAAAAATATGAACTTCTTTTTGCTCTATCGTCATGGCTGGGAAACAATAAGCTCTTTCTATTTGATCCTTCACCTACACCTAATACTCGTTTTTCAACATCTTTAAAAACGGCCACTAAATTGTCCATCCAATGAGGTTGTTTTTCTTCAGGTTGAGCTGCCTGTTGTATGATCGTATTTTGTACTATAGTTTCATGTTTAACCTCGGTGATAATTTGATTATTTATATTTTCATTAATATTCTTTACCTCGTTGAAATTATTGATCTCATTAATGTTCTTTACTTCGTTATTATAATTATTAATATTGATCGTTTGAACGTTTTCTATAGTTTCGACATGTAGATTTTGTGAATCAAAATCATCTACAGAATTAATATTTTTAATATTTGTGTTTGTACTCTTTATATTATCTATGTTTGGTGTATCAATATATTGTGTTTCAACTTTTGTTTCAATATATTGCGTTTCATACTTCGTTTCAACTTTTTCAATATTAATCTTAGAATCGACATTTTCAACATTCATTACTCCAACTTTCTCTATATTAGTATCAACATTTTCAACATTCATCGTTTCAACACTTTTCATTTTAGCATCTATATTTTCCACATTAATATTCTTTACGCTTTCTATTTTAGTTTCACTTTGTTTAATATTTAAAGTATCAATATTTTCAACTTGAACTTTTTCTGCATGAAGTTTTTCGACGGTTGTTTCAATTTTCATCGTATCAATTTTAGTTTCAACATTTTCAATAAATTGATTTTCTATATCAATTTTATTTTCAATATTTTCAATAAGTTGATTTTCGAGAGTTGTATTTTCAACTTTCATATTTTCAACTTTTTCAGTTTTT